GTGGCCCGCAGAGGCCCGGAGGAGGAGACCGAGAGGCCCGGGGAGGCACGTGACGGGCGGGTGGCGCTGGGAGAGAGGGTGCGTAGGAGCCGGGGAGACGAGAGCCGAGCGAGCCCGAGACGCGCTGGCTGTACACCCATGCCAAGGCTGCATGCGTGTGCAACACATTGACTACGTCGGCATGTGGCCCGTGTGTACACATTGACAGGCGTTGTCGCAGGACGGTCCTGCAGCGGTTTAACCGCCAGTCGTGCGGATGCTGTACGAATCCCAAATACCCTGTCACTGCCTCCGGCGTGCATGCCATACGCGACAAAGAGGCCTGCGGAAGTTGCCGAAAGGCTGCACTAGAGGGCGAGGCGGCAAATAGCGAGCCAAGGAGATTACGGGCAGGAGGTGGAGGAGTCAAAGGATAGAAATTCACCTTACACTTCGCAGCTCTCTCTCCTCACTTCACTTTCCCGATTAGCTTCTCACTTTCAAACCTCACGAACGTCAACCCACTTGTCCACTTCTCTCGTCGCGGCGATTATCCCATCTACGAGAGCAGGCGGAGATTTTTGCCATGCCGGAATGTTCGACAAAGTTAAATACGTGCAACTACAATTAATAAAAATAAATTATTAATCTTAATTTAAATTTTTAAATCTTTTTATTTTAATTAATTTTAAAAAGGCTCGAGTCGTAAATTCGTTCTCAATGACCCACGACCTATCAAAATTCGGGGGGTGGTGTCGACTGCATTCATCAGTAGTTTGGCGTATTTATGGGACGATGACTACGTCACTGATAGATAGCGTCCGACACGAAAATGATAAGCTTTAGGGAGGAGAGAGAGAAGAAGCAAGAGGGGAGAGAGAGATAGAGAGAGAAGAGAGAGATTGGAGAGAAGAGACGAGAGACGAGACGGCAGGCGGAGGCGAGTGCGGTCATTCGGAACGGGAGTTGAATTACAACGGGAGCGAGTTTTGTAAAAACTAGTTAAATTCTTAAGAGAATTAATTTTATTTCGAAATAATTATTAAAACTGTTCGGAAAGCCCCGGCTGTAGATTTTATCAATTGTTTTAGCCACATAGGGACAACGCACGTACGCAACGGCACGCGCACAGACGCAACCACAAATACACACACCACACGTAGCGCAGCCACCAGTGACGGACACCACCGCAGCGCACGTATCTAGGCGTATTGATACGATGCGCATCGTTGAAGGTGCAGAACGGACGGATAAGCACATTCAAGCGATCAAAAGCGCGTCATAAAGAAACTCGACTCGATGTCTTGTGTTTTTCTGCGGAAGAGGTCGAAGCGGAAGGGTGTGCAGTGGAGAGAGCGAAGAGAGAAGAGAGAGATAGGGAAAGAGCAATAGACAGAGAGCAGACTAGAGAGAGGAGCTCTACCACGCAGAGAAAAACCCGAGTGAGGAAGAGGGGGAGGACGTGAGAGTGATGAAGAGTTGAGACCGTTTGGAGAGAGAGAGAGACCGTAAGTATTGGCAGCCATGTAGTGCTGTAAGAAATTTGAACTTAAGGAAAGAACGTAGGAAGATCCCGTTACGGACGAATGAAGATTTGAGATGGTTCTGTTAATCGTACGTAATGACACAGGCAACGAAAACTATCTCTGTGAACACATTTACGTATTATAATTGCTAGCGAAATAAGATTCTCAGCGAATAAGTGAAGCTTAATCTTACAATTACTATTTAATAATTCTACAATAAGACGTTCTCACGAATGAAGAAAACTAATTCTTACAAATTAATATTAAAATTCTACAATAAGATTCTCACAAATGAGAGCATGAACAACATTCTTACAATTACTGACTTATTAATGCTACGAATAGTAAGATTTCTCACGGAATAATAACTAGTTCTACAGATATATTACTATGATAATTCTTTACAATAAGATTCTGCAAGATGAATGAAGCAACTTCTACATATTACTATTAATAATATCTTGACAAGTAAGATCCTCGAGCGAATGAATTACACTGGTAATCTCATCCAAGACGTACATATATCAATTCCTTATCAATTAAGATTTCTCACGAATGAGATGAACTTTCTACAATTACTAGTTGATAAGGAATTCACGAAGAAAATAAAAGAGATGGGATCTGCAGAGGAGAGCGAGAAAGAAGGAAAGAGAGCAGAGGGAGGAGAGGGCGTGTTAACTTAATTTACAATTACTATTATAATTCTACAATAAGATGCTTCCACGAATGCAATTAACTAATCTACAAATTACTATATAATTCTTTAGCGAATAAGATTCTTCGATAAGACGTCAGGGAAAAGGCCAATCCGTGAATGTTTATCCGGGTTTCCTTATATATCTTTGTTTCTCGATCTACTTCGGATATTCGTCCTATTGCGAGAGTGCCCGCTGGTTCCTTTCCTTTTTTTTCAGTTTCGTGCGCCTTACCCCTTTTCGTGTTTTATCTAGCGCTTGCGTGAATGCTTAACTTCGTGAGAATGCTTCTAAGGCGTGTTTTATGCCTTCTGTGGCGTAGGCCGGGTTCAAGTAACTCTGAAGTGGGTGCAGGCAGATCGGCTTTAATTAAATGGTGCCCCGCTCTCAGGAAACAAAATTAGGTCTTAACCTGTTTTCACTCGACCGGATCTCTATCACACCGCGTAGGGGGGAACTCGTAATTTTAATTAGTGAAGTTTCGCCGCGGTCTGAGTTAGCGGCTAGTTAATAGATCTGGTGTAGTTTCTAATATAAGGCGTGCTATTGCTTTTCTGTTAATGCAGTATTCTAACTTACGTTAGCGATAGCGAAAACCATGATGCGCCCAGGGCCAACAAATTCCTTCATGGTTAAGATGGACGGTGTTAGACCTTGCTTCACGAGCGACATGGTATCTTTTCATGTATTGAGTATAGGAGAAACGGCTTACAGATGGTTTCCCTTAACGTGGCAAGTATGTGTTAGTGCATCAGCGTACACTTAACAGCGGCCCCCACGGGGGCGTGGCACGAACAATTTATTCGACTACGATTAAAATAAATCAACACGAACCACATGTGCTGCACTATTGCTCCCGATTTTCTCCCCGAAAAGCTGGGGTGGGGGGCATTGCGATAAAAGTCGTACGACGCATGCCTCATACAATTGAAATTTATTTGCTGATTTTGCTGAGCGAGTGGGGTTATTTTGTGTATGGTTGTTGTTGTGTGTTGTTGTTTTGTTGTTTTGTTGTTGTGTGGTAAGAGCTCTGCTTCTAGATCGTTCGCTGGCCGCATCATATAAGTGATGGCAAATGCTGAGAATGGGGGCGGATAGAGGAAGCATTGACGCAACCCACGCCCCCTCGCGGGTGGTGCGCGGACATACGGGCGAGCCATTATTTACGGAAAGTTGGGCTTAGCGTGCAGACAACATGCCACGACGACGGATTAGAGCTGCACGCCACACGCACTCATGGCCAAGGTACACGCACACGCAGCAGCACTTACGCAGCGCGGATATGATCCCACACGGCGCGCATACGCGAATAACACGGAACACAGATTGCCATACGCACGCACACGCCCACGCACACCAGGGTTACGCCCAAACGCACAACGCACTCTGGCTATTCCTACGATCTATATTTCTCTCTTATCTCGCCTCCGCTCCCTATCGTATCTTATCTTATCTTATTCGATCTATCTTAATCCCCTTACCTATCACTCTCTATCAACTTTATGCAGCCATATCCCATCCTACTCTATCTATGCTCCCCATGTCTGAGCTCCCCGCTAGCTAGCTAGGCTAAGTGCGTAGTTCCTCAGTTTTCTAATCTCCAACAGTATATCATATCGAGCTCCTTCTTTGTGACTGTATCTCCCCTCTCTTTCCTTGTTTTGATGTTTCTCTCTCTCCCTCTCTCTCTCTCCTCTCGCTCCTCTTCTCCATGCTCATACCTCATTACTGTTCCCCCTACTGTTACTCTTACCCTACTTCCCTATCTTGCTGTTTTTCTTGCCCTTACATCATCGCTCTCGCGCTCTCGTCCTCTTTGATTTAAACTAACTGCTCTGGTCTAATTAGAAACCGAAAAGACAGCACATATCACACATTAAAGAATTAATATCGTATTAGCGTCATTTTTATATATAACTAATATAAAGTCTCGCACCATATTAGTCACAATATCAATTGTTCCCGTGGTAAAACCACCGGGCAAAAATCAGCCTTCCCTTCATTCCCACTGTAACACAACCCCTTATGTTGTGAGGACCCCCATTTGTCGTTGGTACAGGAAAATGAGTCGCGACCAGGTACGCAAAGTGATCATTACCGCTACAAGCGTTCAGGTTGAAGCACTTATGTGTAGTCAACAATTTAGTCTGACTGACTCTCTCTCTCTCTCTCTCTCTCTCTCTCTCTCTCTCTCGCTGCAATAAAAAAATATGTTTTGGTGAAATGATGTGTACGCAACTGCGTATCTGCGTTATGGTAACTACGCCTCTGGATTTATATAATAGATAAAATTATATAATTATATAAAATTATATAATAAGATATGGAATCAATACTAGAGGAATTTTTGTATGCACCTTAATAACAGTCTAGACTCTAGCAGATACACGTCACCACAAATACGGAATTGATATATTGTCTTTCAGATTGAAAACAGCAGAGCTGATTACAAATGAATTAATTAATCCCACGGCACCTTGGCCTTCAAATGAATACCTGAACTTCGCCACGTCACGTCGCCGCGGCGTGCTTGCGCGCGCGCGCACCCATATCACTCACATCGCGCAGATTGAATCTTGTATAAACATACACTGTAACACATGACACAAAATTGGATTCGAATCCTGCTGACCTTTCAAATAGGTGCACCGACATTGACCTTGTGAAGGTAACCGTAGAAGCCATATCTGTAATGCCCGATGCGGTTTCTTTTTGCACACGCTCGCGCACATGAATACATTGCCTCGGCGTCACGTGGTGTGGCCAGGCATATATATGGCTACGCTTAGAAAATCGAGTTGTAGACCCCGCGGTTTATAAACTACCCGTACGAAATTCTCACCTGGTCTCAACGTATTTCTAACGCAGTTTGTCGGTTGTTTTGCGTCGCATATGTCATTTCGTGAAACTATATGTAATCGTAGTAGTCAGTGGAAAATACCAAGGCTTGACTCTCTAGACCTAGTAGTAGTACATATATCGTCTGTCGTTTCGTTTCAGACGCTATGTTGCGACACGTGATTTTGTTATTCCTCGTCGGCGTGTGCCACGCATTGAGTCCGGAAACGATAGAACAAGTGGAAGCAGAACTCGAGGACTCGGTTAATCAATTCATGGTAGACCTGCAACGCGGCTACGAGGTGGCGAGACACAGAACGAGGAGAAGTATCGGTACGTATATTCCCACGTGCAAGATGCAACGTGCGATTCGTGTATCAGGAATCGCGCATTGTTTTATTTTACGAAACTCGTTTGGTATCAGAAAAGCCGTTGTTTAATTATATCTACGTACATTACTTTTGTTTGTACCTGTACTGTAGTCTAGCCGTACAATTGTGACTAGATTGTGAATTATGTTATTCATTGTGGTAGGTTTATTAACATTATCTTAATTTCAGTCTTTCTTTTGCCTTAGGCAGGGTTCCTAGAATCTACCTATAATGGCTATATGCATAGAGCTAGACAGATTTTAGGTATACTAAATTATGAGCTGTTTCTCTTGAAGGTTCCCAGAGTACATACGTTGATGTCCAGAACTTTACTGTTGAGACTGTGTACGAAAATAAGCCAAACATAGGCTACAGTTCGCTGTTCTATCATGAACCTTCTTCCGTCTACTACCATCTCACCGTCACCGAAAGTGGAACACTGGAAATCTTTTTGGCTGGCAATGTTGCTCCTGTCGCCACCCTTGACCTAGGTCGTGATATCACAGCTGTTGAGGTCAGAATTGTTTAAATTTCCCAATTGAGTTGAATAGACTAATTAATTATATTAATTATATGATGTAGTCATATTTACTGTTACAGTGGACGTACAGTATGTATACATGTATGTTGTGTAATCTCATTATAGGGTATTAATGGGAAGGGTGCGATAGCTGACTTGGTGATAGGTACTGCCACCCATGGTGTAGTCTACACGTTCAACCCGGGTGCTGCTCAGGGGATGGAACTTGAACTGAAGCAGAGTTTGCCAGTGCAGAGAATAACTGATGTAAGTCTCATCACTCCTCATTCATAATTCTAGTTTTTTATTCATGCATAAGAAATGCATATACAATGTAAATCATTAGAAAATTACAGCATGCAGTTATCTAGACTCAGAAAGATTGCACATTTTTTACCTTACCTTGTCAGCATTGCAATTTTATCTCTGTTCAGATTACATTCGTATCGGGGAGGAGTGGGGAAACCTACTGTGTGGTCACTTCTGATACAGCACCAGCCCTTGAGTAAGTCTTCTTAAAATCAAATTTTGTGCTTTCATATATAACATTTTGTGCTAATTTTCAGGACAAAAATTTTGTCACATCAAATTGTATTATTTGTTTCATTTAGTATTTGGTATTCGGTTTACAATCTTTTGATCTGCCTTATTTATAGAGTGTATTTATACACATCTGCTGGGATGGATAGGGTTAGCCAGTACCCGCATTCCTGCTTCCAACGCCTGGAACATTTCCAGCACAGGAGCAGGAATTACATTGTTGCTCAGAGCTGCCACAACGGTGTCATGAATTCCCAGGCCGATGTCGTAGTGTTCAGACTAGATGATGTTGAAGGTATATGCTTGTTCAGTAATGTATACAACTGATATGAACTGAACTGGCTATATTTTAACATGTATGTATCTATGGTTAGTGTATAGCATGTATTGTATAGCACTATATAATAATACCGTGTGCGTGGACGATGTTGCAGGTAGCCTGTTGGCGAGGCGTGTGCAGTCTCTATCCGTCACTGCTCCCGTTGGCCTCTCCGCATTCACAGTAGATGGCAGCACATACCTGTTCGCTGGATCTGGGATTTCCGATGAGAGCATGATCTTCTGGTGGACATGTAAGTAATGGGGGTATTCGTAGATCATATTAGGAAGAGATAGATTTGACCTATATAAACTGCATTGTTGACTCAATTATGTAGGAAAATTTGACCTAGTTTTTTTCCACGGTATACAGTGTCAAACCTTTTCTGACAGACGATCAATTCCTCGTCTACCAGTCGCTGTCGACTGCGTTGAATGAGAACTGGGGTTTGGACGGGGTCACCGACGTGGATAGCATCTCGCTGCCTGGGGGAGAAGTGCTGCTGCTGGCAACACTGCACCACATCAACTCACAGGTACACAAAGAAATCCACGGAAGAAATCTAGGATCAGTCTAGGAATCCAAGAAGGAGAGGGTCTGCTCATTATGGTTAAGGGGAGGGGGTTGAGGACATTGCACCGCTACAGATTTGTTACATTTCAACTTGGACAAATGTTTTGCCACATACTGTGAATCCCCCCCTCCTTGTGTAACTGTACCAGTACCATTACCCAGGTCGGTGGTCGTTGGACCATCTCTCTAGATCCACACATGTCTATATCACTATGTTCGAAAGTTGTTGTGGTTGCCATTTGGTGTAAATACCTACCACGAGTGATATTTACACACTATACATACTTACTTACTTACTTACTTACTTACATTTACTTTTAATTACTTTAATACTTTAAATTTGCTATACATGATCGTATTTTTGCATAGTATTTTTTCTGTGTGTCCAGGGACTGATAATGGGCATGATTCAAGACTACAGTAGTGGCATGTTCGTGCACGCCGCTAACTCCTTCACCACCGCTGCCAGCCCCAACTCCCTCTACACGTGGGTAGCCGACGCCGGCACCATGCTCACGTACTACGCTGCTGAGAGTTACGAAGACGTCGAGATAAATTTCTTCACCATGCAAGTGGAAATGCCATGTAAGTCGACATGCCAAGCATTGCCAAGCATTGCACCAGCAAATCATGCCAGGAGATAGATATAGGTCAACAGCAATCTTGTCATGCTTGAAATTCCTAGGTTCCATTTACCTAATAAATCTTTGCCTAATTTCAGCTCTGGAGCCTACCGACATGCTCCTGCAGTGTATGTATGCCCTGCAGGAAGACAAGGCAGACCAGCAAGCTCTCCTAGATGACATTGATACGACACTGCAACATACGATCGGCCTATCGACCAATCAGACCATTGATAGTGACGTTGTTATTGATGGTAAGTAAACACTGATTTTATGCTACTAAAAATCACCCCACTACCATCTTGTGAAGATTTATAATCACACGGTTCAAAGTTAAATCATGAATTAAAATAATAATTAATAAATAACAATAGATTGATGAATGGTTTAAACGCAAGGGTGGTGTGCTCAGTTCCGCTTTTCCTTTCCCAACGAAGTGTTGTCGCGTGTGTCGTGGAAACTCCGCGATATTGCTATGTGATGAGAGGAAGCCATATACGTGCTTACCGCCCCGCATCGTGTTCTCTCCTCCCTCAGACATCGACATTGCGAGCCTCACCGTGCCGGAGGTGGAGATAGTGACTAGCGCGTACACGCCCGGTGACAGCGTCTACACAATCCTCGACCTGAAGAACGGCCTCGACGCGCAAGCCGAAGAAATCTCTGTCATCACGATAGATCTCGCCTTCATCGTCATGAAGGGAGCCGCGGAGGTGCAGACCGTCGCAGGTGCATGGTTATGACTATTTTGAGTGCTGCTGTCGAGTATATTAGCTCGTTGAACTGTAGGTGGAAACGATTGCCATTATTAACTAAATGATAAATGGTAATGGTAACATACATATGGTAAATACGCGGTACTGATGAAACGCCGGTATTTCAGGCGAGGTGACCTTCACGGGTGATGTGGTCGCCGCGACCCTGACGACGCCCAACGTGACGGTAGCAGGCAGCGTGAGCGGCGTCTCCCCCGTCGCGCTCGACAGCAACGTGCTGAAGAGAGATGAGGACCAGACGATCACAGCGGCGTGGGCCGTCACCGGCGACCTGACCCTCGGAACCACAGAGTACCGCAGCACCTGGAACGCAAAGTCGCTGTCAGGCAAGCGATCTGGCATTTGAATTTTAGTTCCTTGGGTGGGTGGTAGGGGAGTGCATGAAATGCAGAACGGCGGCAGCTGGGTGGGGGGGGGTCATGTCTGTCTTGTCGGGTTCACGATGAACGTTTGTTCTGGTTGTAGTGGTTGTCAGTTGTTGGTACATGTTGGCAGTACGAGGTAGTTACTAGATGACTCCCTAACTTCGCTAGTAATAGTATTAAACGCCAACTCTACACATTTGCGACGAGGTGCAACTAGCAATATGATAGTAGTGTGTTAGTAATTCCTCACATGACTTCTTGCAGACCTGATGTTGACCAACGTTGAGCAGAACGTGACGGGTGTGACGACATTCCACCAGGACGTGATGCTAGGTGGCAGTCTCACCGCCAGCACGTTGAACGGATTCACGCCGGAGACTGACTTCGTGACGGCCGGCAGCTCGCAAGCGATCGCCGGCAGGAAGACCGTCGCGGACGTTCTGATGACACGAAGCGACCTTGTCGCGCCGAGCCTCAATACGGTTTGTAAAGTTTGGTTGCGAAATTTGTCGTGTATCACTGCAACGTGGGTCTAATAAAAGTAATAACTAGCATTAATAAATAGTAATAATTAATAAATCCTATCCATAACCTTGCAGTACCAACTAGATCTGAAGGCGGAAGACATGGTGACACTGAATGGTGCCCACAGCACCATCACAGCCGATGTGACATTCAATGGAGGTGTCAACTTTGACACTAGTGTCACGATGTCGGGTGACATCAATGGCGTCAACTTGGTGCAACTCGCTGCAGAGGTTTTGGATTTGACATCTGAGCAAGAAATTACGGGTATGTAATCCCAAATCAATTATCTCTTGTACATACGTTTTTGGGTTTTTGGGTTTGTCTGTCCACTCATTGATGCATCGGTGATCAATCGCCATAAACAATAAAATAAATTTGTATATTATTTATATGCATATATATTATTTTTTGTATGCATATATTTTTAAATTTTATTATTTCTCCTCACACAGCAGCTCATTGTCTAGCCATTCGCTGAGTGATCCAGGTCTGTCTTATTTCTAGGTGAGAAGACGATTAACGGTGGTCTCACGCTGACCGGCAACCTCGTCAGCATCGGCGACGTGAACGGCATCGACATGGCGATGGACGTGGTGCATCTGAGCGGCGAGCAGGACGTCACGAGCCCGCTGACGCTTGCGGGAGACGAGACGACGTTCAATGCCGCCATCACGACGGACAGTGTCGCCGGCAGTGTCCTCACCGCCCGCGTGGTCACGCTCGCGGGCGCACAGACGATCGACGGTGAGTGGAAGGCGGTGCTCTTGTCTTCGATGCGTGGTTTGTCGTGAATGTTATCGATTCCGTGAAATTTCTGGTTCTGCTGCAATGCTTAACCTTTGATGCAATCATAATCTCAAATTATTCACGAGCTTCATTGCATTCATTCAAATTTGGTCAACATGGATGGTCAGTATAGGACCAGAACATTGACAATGATGATATAATGGTCTTGACCTTTGACATGACCTTCCCATGTATGTTGACCCCTGGATGGTTATGACATTGTGATTTGTTGCAGGAGTGATTACGTTTAACGGTGCGGTAGATGTAGCCGGTGACGTTATACTCGCTGACGGAGACACCATCAACTCTATCGATGTCAGTGCGCTTGACGCCGTCACAGTGAAGGTCGATGAGGTATGTGCTATAGCATCAATATCTCTGCCAGTGAAATCTGTAAATCAATCTGATAAAGATGTCAATCTAACAACTTCTATTGGCTTTTACACTTTTTTATGATATTCTTGTTGTTGTATTATTCCCTATTTCCCACATTTGCATTCAATCAATCAATCGATCAATATCTTCATGTTTCGTGCCAACAGTCTGCCGACATCTATGGCGACAAGACGTTCTCTGACATCGTGGCGACGGCAGCGACGACGGGCACCATCAACGCCATCGACGTCGTCGGGAAGGCCGGAAGCATCTGGCGTCGTTCCACGAACGACACGATCGACGTGAACGTCACCGTGAACAACAACGTCGTGACGAACAGCGTAGCCGCGGGATCCGTCAACCTGTTCGACCTCGCTAACGACTTTGTCACGCTCGCAGGCGACCAGACGATCACAGGTACGATCACGGCGGGTGTGTGTGTGGGGGCGGGAAAAGCTACTAGAAAAATACTAGAAAAATAGGCCGCTTTGGACTGTCCACTGGATGTGGCACTGTGGATGTCAGCTACATGGTATTTCAAAATTGATATGATAGTTGCTCTGCGCGCTGTCTCGTGTTTCAGGTGAGGTTACATTCACGGACGATCTTGCTACAGCTAGCATCGACATCGCCGATACCAAGACCGTAGATGGAGTCGATCTCTCTGACATAGATTCCCGGGTATGTCTTTTCTACCCCGTTCGTGTATTCCACGCCTGCCTTGCGGCTCGTACTTGTACAATCCACGATACACATTTCTGCTGCTTTTCCAATGCACATCCAAATTTTTCATTTCCACATTATTATTATTCCATATTATTCCACGTTAGTATTATTCCACATCATTAGTCCATATTATTCCAGTTGTCTTATTCCACGTTTGCTTGTCAGGTAATATATTTCAGTTGCATGAGCTAGGCACTGCCCGTCACGTTGCAGGTTCTAGTCTAGCTGTGTATGTATTTTCTGCCTTCCAGGCGGTCAAGCTGGCCACGGACCAGGTGATTACGGCCGCTCACACGTTCGGCGATTTGAACTTCACTCGTGACGTGAGCGTCGGCGGCACTCTGAATTCTATCGACACCAGCGACATCATGCTGGCTGATGCCGAACAAACCGTCACCGGTGAGTCCATACTTCACGATTCATCATGATTTATACGTGATTTATCTGTTTGATAGATGCTACTGTTGCTATACTGCTACTTTTGTGGTGTAACTGCCTCTACACTGCAACTATGTTGTTATAGAACCGTCGCTATTCGATGTGAACACGTGGTATTTTGTCGTGTAGGTACAAAGACGTTTGGTGCGGTGACCGCCACTGGAACACTGACTGCCGACACAATAGCTCCCACGACGGTGAACGGTGTCGACATTTCTACAGTAGCAGAAACGGCCGTCATGATCAACGATACGACCATGACAATATCTGGCGACGTGTCATTTGAATCGCTGTCTAGTAAGTGCAAATGTAGTACATATGTCACAAACTAGCATCCTAGTATTTCACAAGCATATTTCGGCATATTTTTTGACAATTGGAATATATATACATGATAGTGACGTGGTAATACATAGTACATATATGCATGGTAACGACCTGGTAATAAATGGGCATCGTAGTTATCCTATTGGTTTATATTATGCTAAAGCAGAATATTACCTCGTTTACAGTATCAGGAAATATGAGTACATCTGGACTCGTCGATGGTGTGGATTTGCTAAATCTACGAGCCAACGCAGTGACAATCGACGGATCCCAAACAATTACGGGTATGTCATTAAATATAATATACAATATAAAATCCTGATCGTATATTATACTATCTATCCACCCATATCTATATCCATTTACAACACATCTTACAATATTACATATTACATATTTACAATTCTTGCTGCTTCATTTTGCAGGGGCTATGTCCTTTGATGGGCCTGTGACCTTCAGCTCTGTGGCGTCTGACAATGTGAACAACGTCAATTTCACTTCCCTCGACATTAATGCATTCAGAATTGCTTCAAACGAGGTTTTGACTGGAACAAAGACCTTCACTGGGTAAAAATCCTATTTTTCGGTGTCATACACGGCGCCTGCTACTGCGGCACATTTTCTGTCCCCATTCATTCCTTAACATCCAGACTTTATCATCCACCCTTTATTGTCCTCGTCATTATCGTTACTGTTTGCTTTGTCTGTTAACACAGGCCTGTCGTGATCACCAGTGACCTTGACAGCACGGTGGATGACATTGACATTGGAACGCTGGAGAGCACAACAATGTCCAAGTCAAAGGTGCAGAGTGGAGGCACCAAGACCTTCACCTCTTCCATGACTATTGGTAAGCTATATGGATGACTTGGCTAACATTCACATGCTACACACAGCTACATACACCTAACATAACACACAGCTACAGATAATCTGCGCTGCACTTTCAATGTGGTTGCTGCATGCAGATCAACATACCGTGGTTCACTTTCAAATGGCTGTATTTATACGTTACAGATCAGCTTACGGTGTTGAATCTCATCGATGGCATTAACCTGGACAATTCTGCACTACTTGATGCTGACAACACGTTCTCCAAGACCTTCACCATATCTAACGACCTTCAACTCCAGGACATGGATGTTAACGTGATTGGAAACCTTAACGGAGCTTCACTGACCAGTGTATGCATCACTATAATACTGTCTATTGCAATAATAATCAGCCTAATGCAATACTAATTAGTGCGGGGAAAAATCCTAGGATTTGCTGGGTTTATGAATAATGGGTATGGGATGAGCAGTATACCTTCATCTCACCTCTTGCCACGGCTTCTCGTCTATCCACAGTTCAACAGCGTTGTGATAAGGAAGGATGAGGCGTCGACGGTCATGGGAGCGTGGGTGTTTGAGAACGCGACGCTGGGATGTAACGCCACCATCGCCGGCACGGTAAACGATGTTGACATCGACACACTCTACGCAGAGTACATGTCCAAGACTGCGCCCAACGTCGTGCCTGGTGAAAAAACCTTCACTAAAGGTACGAGGTCCTCTTATTTCTCTCCCCAAAATTAGGTGAAAGATTGTAAATTATGAATAACAATTAATGGATAAGGTAGTAAATATAAAATGAAACGGTTATTGCAACTAAATCTAGTGGGGATTGAAAGTGGCCGTTTCCTTTTCAGTTACCACCTTCACTAACGTGGATTTCACTGGTACTGTCAACCTGCTAGACCTTGATGCTATATACAGTGACATCGTGTCAAAGTCTGAAGCTCAGGTAAATTTAGCAATTGATGATCGTGTCGTGCACAATACGGCTAAAATTTGCTAAGATTTTCTAGTCGTCATATTATATTTCAATTATATATTATATATGTATTTATTATATTATTTATTATTATTATTATTTATCATTTAGATTATAGATGGCGACAAGGTGCTCGTTGGCAACCACGTCGTTGCTGGAGTGCTGACGATCACAGACTCCGTGGACGTTGGACTGGTCAATGACTACGATCTCCTCGCCCTGCAATCGCAGACCGTCTACACGATGGGCAACCAGAGCATCGGCGGATTCAAGACCTACGCGGCCGCGGCGACGACATCCTTCGAGGAGCTGACGGTGGCGGGCACGGTAGACGGAATCGTCGTGCCCGATCAGCTCGTGCTGCGCGACACGGACGAGAGCGTAGAGGGCGCCACGATGCTCGCCGACGTCGTCGCTGACACGCTGACGGCGGGCGGCTACGTGGACGGCGAGAACGTGACGATGCTCGTCGCCGAGTTTGTGTATCTGTCCGGCGAGCAGACGATCGCCGGGGCGATGGAGTTCACGAGCGCTGTAGACTTCACAGGTTCGTAACGTTATGCTGTTTTGGCATTTTTAGCTCACCTTGACATCGTCAAGCTGAGCTATTGCCATGGGTCGTCGTCCGTCGTACATCCGTCCGTGGATTTTAATGAGCATTTGCTGTTTGGAGGGTGTGGGGGGTTGAATGGGATTCAATAATTGATTAATTCTTGATTGCTAAATTTCAAAGTTTATAAAATTTTTTTTCACGTAATTTACTTGGTGTCGCAGGTAGCATCGTCGTTAACGGCACGGTGAACAGTATCGACGTCGGGGAGGATCTGTTCACGGCGAGCGGTGACCAGCTAGTATCGGGAGCGAAGACGTTCGCAGAGACGGTGACCTGCGCAGAGCTGACCCCACTGACCATCAATGACGTCGACGTGCAGTGGCTGTACGACCATGCTGTGTTGACCAGCGCCTTCTCCGCGCAGCAGCCAACTGTATCGTTCAATGGCAACATTGTGAGTCACTCCCACATTTATTTGATTTTTAAAAATGTATTGTATTTTGCGTTTGGGATATAAAAAAATAAATATGAGAGTATTTATTGGTTTTTATTCAAATATTGTAAGTAAAACGTGAATATGTTCGTTTTGGTAACTCGGTCTTGGTCTTGTCGCTTGCAGACGTTTGCAGCCAACGTGATAATACAGGAGAGCGTGTCGACGGTAAATCTCGTTAATAATGCTGACCTGAGTGAGATGAGCGTACTGCAGAAGTGGAAGCAGGACTATCTACCGTACGCGATGGGTGTGCTGGAGACCGAGGTTGCCACACAGGGCAACATCATCGGCAGCGTTGTCAACGCATCGACAGGTGTGATGCACAACAACAACGTGAAGCAACACACAGCGTGCAGCAACACACAACGTGTGGCGACACACAGCGTGCGCGACACACAACAACATGCAGCAACACACAACGTGCGGCGACACACAGCGTGCGCGACACACAACAACATGCAGCAACACACAACGTGCGGCGACACACAACAACATGCAGCAACACACAACGTGCGGCGACACACAACAACATGCAGCAACACACAGCGTGCGGCGACACGCAACGAGCAGCAACACACAGCGTGCGGTGACACGCAACGAGCAGCAACACACAGCGTGCGGTGACACGCAACGACACACAACAACATGCAGCAACATGCAGCGTGCGGCGACACGCAACGACGCACAACACACAGCGTGCGGCGACACGCAACGACACACAACAACATGCAACAGCACACAGCGTGCGGCGACACGCAACGACACACAGCAACGACACACAGCAACGACACACAGCAACGACACACAGCAACGACACACAGCAACGACACACAGCAACGACACACAGCAACGACACACAGCAACGACACACAGCAACGACACACAGCAGCAACTACAGCAGCAACACACGTTTTTCTTCCACCCCTCAGGTATGATCGACTCTGCGTACGGTTACTTCGAGCTGGTGGGTGAGATTGGTACGACATCATACGGAGGCATAGAGGTGGATCGCTACTATGACCCGACCACTGTCTACTGGTGGCAACACGACGGAGCGCTGGCCGCGCAGTACCAACTACCGGACCACGCCGACCAGTGCCACGCATTCGAGGTAAACGTTGGGTATAATTGCATGAGGTTCCGTGAGCAACAATGAGCAACGATTAGCAGTAATAATCAACAATGAGCAGCATAAGCAATGATTAGCAGTAATAATCAACAATGAGCAGCATAAGCAATGATGAGCAGTGATAATCAAGAATGAGTAACTTTAGCAATGGAGCCGTAACGAGCAATGATAAACAATAAAAATGATGGCGAATACCTTTCTGGCAGCATACCCATGAGTGGGTGGCCAGTGTGTGTGCGTCTGCGGTGGTCGTAGGTGGGTGGTTGGGTGGTGTGTGTGTCTGTGGTTGTCGTCAACTGACAGGTGGGAATTAATTGCATGATATCGAGGGCAACGTTCTTCCCTCCTGTTTCCAGACTATGAACGCATCGATGTCCAACGAGACATACGGCAACGAGTCGACGGCCACGCCCGGACGCCTCTTCTTCCACGACATGCCCGCCGACAACGCCTGGATTAAGGTCATCTCGTACGGGATCAGCTCCAACCCGTGGTGCGTGACGGGAGTCATCTACCCAGGTACGTGTGTCGATGATTGCTGCAGAGAGCCGCAGAGTAGCGTGGCGGAGAAAACTAGGAGATTTACGTTAGAATGTAATTCTGACCCATTGTGCGTGACGTGATTGGTCATTACCTAACCAGCTACGTGCGTGGGCGATCGTGGATGTAGCAGATGGTACCGGAGGAAGAATACCAGCTAGCTAGCGCCGTGTGGAGGGCTTCATGTAACGTTTTTGCCGTGCGTACAGGTGACAACAAGCCGGTGGAGATCATCGTTCGCACGTCTAACGGCGCGGAGGTGCGCAGCAACGTGCCGCCCACCTACATAGGGGATGTCAAAGTCCTAAAGGTCCCCAATGGTGACGTCTACCTCATCATTGCCAAGCACTTTGGTGGGTTGGTTTGTTTGTCTGTCTGTTTATAAGTATATTAGTCAGTTCGCAGGACAATAATATATTAATACTAATTTACATCGATTATTTTAATTGATTGATTAACTGATTAATTGATTACTATTTGCTTTCAGAACCCCAGAAAATGGAAACTAGACTGCAAAGCAACGTGTTTAAAGTCGATCTCTACACGGGAGTAATCACAAAGGTAAACAAGCGAAGATGTTGAAAAAAAAAAACGGTCCTTCACAGAGCCTGGTGTGGTATGTCTAATTTCTTGCTGTAATCTTCTTATAGGTGATGGATATACAAACGTATGGTAGTGTGGACATTTCCTCTGCTTCAAATGGAAACGACATTTACTTTGCCATTGCGAATCAGTACGACTCGAGGACCGAGTCCTATGCCTGCGAATCGCACATCTACAAATATGCCAACGCAACTGTGAGTGCAATTTTCCATTTGGTAGCATATAAATCTTTCTACTACGATCCTGCCTTCCTACTTTCCTTCCTTCCTACATCCTTCCTACCTTTCTACAGAGTAGCAGGTTTGCATCACCCCTCCATTTCTCATCCCGTTGCAGACGCACGTGAATCGTCCCTCGTTGCCATTGAAAGTACACTTCCTCCACTGGTCCTGTTTCAGACATACTAAAATCTCCCTCCCTCCCCCCTTCGTTTCCCGCTTTAGGCACCCTAAAATCTCCCCCCTTCGTTTCCCGCTGCAGGCACCCTAAAATCTCCCCCCCTTCGTTTCCCGATGCAGATGCACTAAACTCTTCCCCGCGTTTCCCGTTTCAGTCGCACTTTGTGAAGGTGAAGACCGTCTACACGGAGACGGCGAGCAACGCGGAGCTGTTCTTCATCGACGGACTCCTCTACGCGTTCTTCGCCAACGAGAAGCGCCACAAGCCGGGCAACTACTACTGGAACAACCTCTACTCGACCAACGTCGCCGTCTACCAGCAGATAGATCCCGAGGGACCGCTCATGCAGACGGGATCCATCCCCATCCAGGGCGTGCGCGATCTGGAGACGTTCAAGATCGCCGGTAATCGTCGTGACGCGTCTACCCCCGCATGCATATACGCATTCACATACTATAAGCATACATATATATATATATATATTGCCTGGGGGAATGAGGCGAAAAAAGGGGACGTGTGTCATATCAAGCTGTGAAAACATAGCATGAACTGTCAGAATGCTTGTCAATGTAGGTGGGTTACAACGTCAATACTTCTGTTTCAGATGAACAGTTTGTGACCATCACGTCGCACAAAGATGGTGCAGTCTACCTGCTGAGGTACAGCTACAGTGCCGGCTTCAACGTAGTGCAGGTAAGACCGCCCCCGGGGCAATATCCTACGGCTAAGTGCAAAATCGACCCAATCGTCTGGTCGTGATTGACCACGCTCTTTCTCCTCCCTCGAATTACGTAAATCTGGCTTCATGTCTCGGTGTTACCAAGCGTTGGCATTACCAACCATAATAACCATTGGCTGCCTGTTGGTCCCATTCGGGTGGTTGGATCGATTTCAAAACCCCACAACCAAGCCCTGTCTCCGTAACACCGAGGGTATACCGAAATTTATTATAGGTGTTCCCCAACTATCAAGCCACCTCTACCATCATGTTTTGGCAAGGAGGTGATCTGTTTCTGGTAGTTGCTGCCGATATTGCACCAACCAGGATCTACCGAGCCTTCATCAGAGGTATGTTATGTATAACTGGTCGTGATTTTATCATAGCACAGTCGCAGTACTTGGATACGTAGCTATCACGTACATCATGTATATTCACTTATCATTGTGTAACTACTGATTGTTAAATTACAGGGCCCAAGGTTCACTTGCCGTGTTCAGCTGAAGATATGCCATGTGATGATTGAATGTCCCTGTGATTAAGGGCCTGATCAAGAACCAAGACATTTATATTTATTATGATTTGGAGAAAAAATTTAATATTTATATTATTATATTTATATATAATGAAATATAATTTGGAGAAAATCTGTATGTATATATGAACTAATTCTATTGGAAGCTAAACAAATTGATATCCAACATATATTATAGTCCAACATTGATATTTTGTTACAGAGTGTTACATAAATAAATACTTTCTATTATGATATTACCTGTTAGTGTTTTTCTGTTGGTTGTACATCACACACCACATTAAACAATTTATTTTTGGGGGTTATTGCCATTTATTGCCACAATGTGAACCACAGTATTAAAACTTCACTGGTATGTCTATGGCACATATGTAGATAATGTATGCTTCCAACAAAGTATTAACATGCATAAATTTTTTTACAAAAGCACCAACAATTGAACGCTATGCCATAATAACAATTTTGTATAGTATTAAAATTTCACTGGTAGCATATATGCATAGCATAAAAGTATGCAATATCCTCCTAATAAATACGTAAAAAGCAAAGCATGGAAACTGGCATAAAACAAGTACTGTATCCATCCAATAAGCCAGAGCATATTAATATCGTTATATCGTCATGGCCATTGATTTCCTACTTTGTACACCAAACGTTAATAAATTAACACCAATGCAGAATTTGGTGTTTTTAGTGGCTAGAATCAATGTGAAAATAAGGAGCGGCCCATGCTTACGTCGCCTCCCCATTTAATGTCCGTGTACCGGGCATGCAGTGCTCTCTCCACTTCTTGTGCGTGCTCCCTATCTTTGGTCTCGATGACACACTTAACCTGGTTTGTAAAATACAATATTAAAGTGTATAATAAATATAGTGCAAGAACTAAACATGAACTGACGTATGGTAGATGTTTGCGTATCTGAAACTAGCAGTATTATTATTATTATATTTATCAGGCAGTGGTTGTCTTGTGTAATTATTGTCGTTGACATTAATTTCTGCTCTCGGCCATTTCAAACACAACGGCCAAGTTGACAAACATGCATTAGCAGCGGTCGTTTCACACGTACATTAACGCTGAATATGTCTGCCCTCAGCCATGCCCTCTCGTGGAAGATGTCCTTTAGACTGGCGCCCATCTTCGCGAGCAGCTGCGTCAGCTCAGCGATGCCTCCAGGCCGGTCAGCCACGGTCACGCTGAAGCGCACAAGCCGCTCATCTACCGCAAGACCCCGCTCCAAACAGCGACCAAGCACCGTCGTGTCGATGTTGCCGCCTGTCAACGCGATCACAACCCTGCGTCGGTAACAAATAGCAACACGTTGACAACAAATTGCAAGAAGTCGGCAACGACTCTGCGACATTGCTGTGCAGACGGCAATGAAGTATTTAGAACGCACAGTACAGTAAAACTCGCATAAGTCGGCACTTTTGAGACCAGTATTTTTGTGCTGATCGACTTACGAAAATGACGATATACGCGTAAGTCATCATTTTGTCGACTTACATGTATGTATGTATATCGTCATTTTGACGATTTACAAGGCCGGCATTTCGACGACTTGGAGAGTGTCAAGCTGATATTTCGCCAGGCTTCATATCTGCATGAACTACTACATGCACTAAGGTATCGTCTCAAAATTACTTGATCCTGATGCCATAAAACACTCAAATGTTTATGTTTTTTCACCAAACAAGTTTTAGTCTTTCGTGATACAGTACAATGTATCAAACCATTTTGAGATGATTCCTTTAATACATGTATAGAACAAGTAAAATATGCAAGCTTATATGCATGTATGTACACTAGCTATAATTTGAAATGCCAGGAATTCGCTGTACATTGGGCTACATACACTGCGCCATGGGCATTTCTGATGACGAGATACAGATAGAATTTTACTGTTGTTTGTATTACATGGGACCTGTCTGAGGGTGACGACTTGTACATAATGACGGCTTGCAAATGACGACTTAGGCGGGGCTATTCAAATGAATTTATCATTAGAGAAAATCTGGACTTTGACTTCCATGACAACTTACGCGAATTGACGAGTTAGATGATGGCGTCTTATGCGAATTTTACTGTACTAGTTGAGAGGGTCTATGCAATTTGGAAATAGCAGCCCCACCCCCAGTCCGGCACAGCTGACTTTTGAGCAGGATTGACTCATTTTTATGGATTTTTCTAACTTTAACTTTTTGTCTAAGACCGGTCTGTCTACCTGGTTACTGTAGAAACATACCCCTAACCCTTCACCATAACCCTAATCCAACTATAGCCCTAACCTAAGGTACCCTGGCTTCCATGCCAAGTCCCTAGTTTTGCATCTGATCAGATATAGGCCGTTTTAGCTCTAGTTTCTACTATTATATATATACTAGCTATATTACCCGTCCTCCAGACGGGTTCGAGTGGGGTCTGACTTGAGGATGGCGGTTTAACCATTTATCTCTCACTGTTATTTGAGGATGTATTTACAGTAAAATATACCCCTCCCGTTGTCAAATATTTGCACACACGCGCGCACACACACATCACACACGCGCGCACGCACGCACACACCACATTCACACACATACGGGCATGCGCACGCACACTCACACGCGCACCCACGCACGCACATACGACATTTACACAAACACGGGCGCACGCACGCACGCACGCACGCACCCTCCCCACACACCCACGCACACAAATACGACATTTACACACACACAGGCGTGCACACGCACACGCACACACGTCCCATGGGTCGATTTTGTGAAACGTCAAATTCGTAGAGAAAATTGGGGGGGGGTGTAAGAATGTAAAAATTGAAATTATACATTCAACAGTACCTTACAGTAGACAGCGAAGTCAACAGCGGGTGTTACAGATAGCCAGCGTGTACAACGCCTGCCGCTAGTGCAAACGATGTACGTGAGTCATGGCTAGGAACGGTGTCTATTGATGTACGGGCGATTCATTGTTTCATGTCTATGGCGCGAAGTGATGCCGTGTGTGGAGCATGTTTATGACCGAGTAGGAGTGACGGGCGCCTGGGAGGGGAGAACGAAAGTAAAACGAAAACCGGTAGCTCCCTCTTCCTATCGTTTTATCCTATCAGGGGTTGATAATTATGAAGGCCTGTAATTATAAATAATTATGATTGATTATTATATACTTATAATTATTAAGGTCTTAACGATTGAAAGATCTGTCATTATGAACCCCTGATCCTATCAACGCAGATTGTTCAGATCAGGATAGTTGCAAAACGGACTCCTATTTCTATCCCTGGTATAGTGTACAGTATTTTGTAGTATTTTATGACATGGCACTGTGTGATATGTGTTTATTGAGAAATGCTGGATGTACAGGAAATACCAGAAATCAAGTAAGTCAGGTTTAGGAAAAAATTATGAAGGTTGAAAAGCATGAAAATCGAGACTTACTCCAAGCCGTCTTCTTTGACGCCGGGATCGCGTGTGATTCACGTACTGTGATTGGACTGCGCATGCGGATTTGGCGATCTTAAAATTTGATGCGGGTTTCCGATGAATGCCGAAGTTTCTTCGGGCACATAACTTTTTAGAAAATTGCTTCCAAAAGTCACCTTACGATCAAAGAATCGCGTTCTAATGTTGCGGAATGTATTCGCAACGTCCAGAAGGGGCCCAAGCTGGATTCGCGTGAGAATACGTGGCACGGTTTCGGAGGAGATACGGAAAACGACACTTTTCTAGCGAACAAATGGCTCGCTTTCAACAACGTTGTGCAGCGAGGACCTTTTGTGGAAGCAATTCTGTTGTCACGGTCATTTAGTGGTGGATCGTGGGGGTGGGGGAGTAAAATACACGACCAACCAATCCCTGTCCTGGAGCGACCGTTAGAAAACGATAGACAAAAAATGTCACGTAGTCATTTACGACCATTTCAAGCCGCCATTTTCCTCGTGTAATGTGTGGCTGCACCCCACTAGGGGAGGGGGGACTTACAGCACTCCCTCATACCCCCCTCCCTATAAAATCCATTATTGTCACTGTACCGTTTTCCGACAAGTTCGGGAAGTTTTCCGGACAGTACAGCTGCCAAGCCAACAGCTCCAGCTCCCTCGACAACAGCCTTCTCCATCTCTATGAGCCTCAAGATCGTCACGGCAACCCACTCCTCGCTTGAGATGCAATAGACAGGCAAACATTCCCATTTCAAAGGTTTCCCAAAGTCACATTTCTCCCCACTGCAGAAAAGACTTCATGCGCAGAGAGATTCCGCAGAAACGCTCGAGTTACTTTAATGGCAATCCAATTTTTAACACGCGTTCGCATTCATTTCAACGCCGTGCGTAAAGTTTCTTTCAGTTCCATCACAAAAATATCGAAAAAAGATAGATATTCTGTATATTAATATATTACATTAATACATAAGATATGATGAACATGCAGACGTTTCCACGGTTACATCATTTCTGTTCAAGCTCGTAGCTTCGCTTGAGCTTTCATCCAGCGGATGCTCCCGAACGACAAACACCGTGACAACCATCTTCGTCTCTCATCTACTCATTATTTTTCCGCAGCAGCCTTCCTCGGCCCTGACCCCGGCACGACCCCGGCTCACCTGACAACGACCGTCTTGTCTACATGACCTCGCGCCGTTGCGAAGGCATTGACCCCGACGATGGGGACGCTGAGTCCGTCTGCCAGCGTCGACGATGGCGCCGCGTAGATTGGATGGTCGGCGGCGACGGCCGTCGTGTAGCACGGACACGACTCCGCCTCCACGCCCTGCGAACAAGTGAACGGCAACAACAACGAGGTGAGTGCGTCGGCGTCGCCCATCGCGATGTCGTCCCCCGTTGTATGCGATGATGCTTAGCGAAGAAGTGCGGCGTGCAGTCGACGTTCCGGCGTGGGCGAGCGAAAAACGCAGATTGAATGAGCTTTACCCACCTAGCAACAGCATTTATGGTCGGAATGTTGTGATTATGTTGGCAACACAGATAAGACACTAAAGACGATAAGGCAAATAAAATGGACACGCCGACTCACGATAATTTGTATGTCCGGGTAGAGGGACTTTATCGCTATCGACGAGCCTGCGATCAAGCCAGCGCCCCCTATAGGTATCACGACAGCATCGATGTCGGAAACCTGTTCGACGATTTCCAATCCCATTGTTCCCGCTCCGGCTATTATGTGTGGATGATCGTACCTGGAAAAATCGTAGCAAAATGATAAAACTATGATCGTTTTTTCCTTAACTCACGCAACAAAATGATATACATGTATACACGCAAGAAGGCAATCTCATCCACGTAACAGCACGTGGTTGTGCTGGACAAAGTGACGTCATTTTGGAGGCTCTACACTCAGCAGGAGCCAAAAGGACATAAGAAAACACATACGCACATGCACACGCACACATATATAGATATAATGCACTCATATGTATTCAGAGTGTTACATACACACAATGTCTATATACTGGTGAACTGTAGTGTAATGAGATGTGTCTCTAGGAATTAAACTTTCAGGGTTGGATACTATATAGCATTAACTCATGACACAAGGTGGTGTAAATATGCTTACCCATTTATGTACTCGTAGCCCTTCTCTTTAGCTATTTTTAGAGCGATTTCTTTTGACTAAAAAATAAAGGGGTCACTGTAAAAAGTGCTTCCATTACTGATTTACGATGAACATACCTATTATATACATGTGTTCATGGTTTTACATTCAGAAACTAAAAGTAATGCCACAGTACTCACGTCTTTTAAATGCAATTGTTTCTCGTATGATTCGCAAGAAACATATGACATGAGAATTCCTCGTCCGGCATTAATGCTCTCACACATCATGCGAGAGCGAAAAACGCAGATTGAATGAGCTTTACCCACCTAGCAACAGCATTTATGGTCGGAATGTTGTGATTATGTTGGCAACACAGATAAGACACTAAAGACGATAAGGCAAATAAAATGGACACGCCGACTCACGATGATTTGTATGTCCGGGTAGAGGGACTTTATCGCTATCGACGAGCCTGCGATCAAGCCAGCGCCCCCTATAGGTATCACGACAGCATCGATGTCGGAAACCTGTTCGACGATTTCCAATCCCATTGTTCCCGCTCCGGCTATTATGTGTGGATGATCGTACCTGGAAAAATCGTAGCAAAATGATAAAACTATGATCGTTTTTTCCTTAACTCACGCAACAAAATGATATACATGTATACACGCAAGAAGGCAATCTCATCCACGTAACAGCACGTGGTTGTGCTGGACAAAGTGACGTCATTTTGGAGGCTCTACACTCAGCAGGAGCCAAAAGGACATAAGAAAACACATACGCACATGCACACGCACACATATATAGATATAATGCACTCATACGTATTCAGAGTGTTACATACACACAATGTCTATATAGGGCCTACTGGTGAACTGTAGTGTAATGAGATGTGTCTCTAGGAATTAAACTTTCAGGGTTGGATACTATATAGCATTAACTCGTGACACAAGGTGGTGTAAATATGCTTACCCATTTATGTACTCGTAGCCCTTCTCTTTAGCTATTTTTAGAGCGATTTCTTTTGACTAAAAAATAAAGGGGTCACTGTAAAAAGTGCTTCCATTACTGATTTACGATGAACATACCTATTATATATACATGTGTTCATGGTTTTACATTCAGAAACTAAAAGTAATGCCACAGTACTCACGTCTTTTAAATGCAATTATTTCTCGTATGATTCGCAAGAAACATATATGACATGAGAATTCCTCGTCCGGCATTAATGCTCTCACACATCATGCGTAAGCTTCACTAAAGTTCTGCAAATTCTAAGAAACGTGCATGCACACTGGCAGGCACGCACGCACAAATAGAACATATGCACGCATACACACGCACGCATAAATTAATACACTTGAGTACGCACGCATGCACACATTCATGAACGTACCCACGCATGCATGCATGAATCTATGCATGCATATACACAGGCACGCACGCACGCACGCACGCACGCACGCACACACACACACACACACACACGAATACACCCACGTACGCACGCACGCATTGTTGAACGTACGCACGCATTCATGCATGCATGAATGTACGCATAAATACACTCGCGTATGCACGCACGCATTCACGAACGTATGCACGCATGAATGCATGAACATACGCATGCAGGCACCTGAAAACACACAAAACGCAAGCACACCTGAACGCATACACGCACGCATGCACCCACACACACACCGATGCATCCATGCACGCACGCACGGACGCACGCACACACGGACGCACGCACACGCAACCACACGTACCTCTCCTAGATGAGCTCCCCTGACTATGATGTTTGCACCGTATGTCTTGCAGTTTTCTATCTTCATGAGAGGCGCTATTATCGGCATGACAACGTACACGGGGATGTTAAGGTCCTTGCCGTGGTAAGCTAGCGCTAGCGCATGGTTGCCAGCTGATGCAGCGACAACGCCAAGTTTCTTCTGCGCCTAGTCGTCAGAAATAAGTTACATTAAAGCGGCGTGCCCTCCACGCGTTGAGAAAGTGGCCTTCAATGTTTTATGCGAGGTGAGGAGAGTGAGCAGCACCCCACTATAGATTTTAGAAGAAAATGAAATAAAAAAGTCTAATGGGGCCAAAACAAAATATAGGTGTGGTTACGGTTTCCCGACCGACCCTATTTATTCCCAGCGACCCTAAACATTTTATTGTCAATTTTCTTTAAAGTCAAAAAAATAAAAAAATAAAAAAATATGAATTGGACAGTTCCTGCTTCAAAAGGCACAACGCACATCCTTCGGACATGGTTCGTAAATAAAATATTTCAATAAAATAAAATGTTTTCCCTACCTACCTACCCTTTTTTTTCCCGGCATTTAACGGTAACCACACACATATTTTGTTTTGGCCTAAATGCGAATATCCAAAAGATTAATGTAATTAATAACAGAACATAAGTATTCTTTCAGCCTTATCTGACATGCGGTTTACCACTTGTAAACTGCAGAAGAAAAGTATTCACTTGTCATTACTCATGCAGTTCACGGAATTGTTCACCCCCACCCCCACTGTGCAGTAATTCGCACAGGCTAAGACCCCTTTCACCTTATTGAGTAAAAAGAACGGGGAAATTAAGGTTTAGCATATGTCACATAAGGATCACAATAACTTACTGGAGACAGCATCATTAATGTGTATCTAGCTCCCCTTTCTTTGAAGCTGAAACCAGAACAATAAATGCACATTTATCAAATGTTTGCGACTATAAGAATGTACTCCAAGTTAATTCGATCCTATAGTGTGAAAACGGATTCTGATATTACAGAATAAACAATTAGAAACAAGACAAATCGATGATCATAAATCCTGCATGAGAACCAGTACGTGCTTTAAACTTGTATCACGAGAACTACAAGTCGATCTAGCACTAGTGGCAATATACGAACACCTACCTGCCTGTGAATTGAAGGAATTCTTTCTTAAAGTAAATATCCATTTTTGCTATTCGAGACACATTTGATTTCTGGAAAAATATAATAATATGAAATTCAGTGACGTAGAACACACATAGTGATTATAACTACCACTATTACATTTTAATCCATAATTGGCACTGGGTAATAATTTCAACAGTAAATCATATTATATCGAACACCTAAAATAATTATTGCTACAATTTCTTCTTTCACTCATATTACCCACACAAACCACCTATATATATAATTATGTATCTGGGCCTTAGGTTTACAGACAAAACACCTACAGTGCATGGTGTTCTCTGGATGCCATTTTTTATCATGTAGGCAGCAGCACTTATATCCTGGAAAGTGACTGTGGTCGGATGTTCTGGATCGCACCACCTGTCCTGTGTGTGCAGACAAAAACTGTCTAGATACATTCCAAATGAAAAAACATCAAACCTATCAGTCTTTCCTAACAGTAACACATGCATCTTTAGCGTGACCCCAATCATTTTCCATCCCTAGGGCAAATAGATCCACTAAATATAATACCTTTTAGAAAATTTAAAACCTCAAGTTGGCCTATAGGCCAAGGCAAAGTGCACAGGACATATACGACTGGATTAACAACAGTTATGAACTAGAGTTGGGGTTGTGTTATGCCCGG